ATTTCGAAGAGCGATCTACTCCAAGTTTTGAAGCGAAAATCTCACAATCTAAAATTGACGAGATGATTCTCACGATGCCCCAAAGGATTAACGAACTCCACGAAGCGAAAGGAAGATCTACTAGATATTAATCAAATTATAAATATATCAATTCATGTGAATATGACTGAAAAATTTAATTTTTTCTGAAAAGGTGGTGTCTATTTACTTGTGACCACTCGGTGTACATGCCACTTTCCCATGTTAATTGTTGTTACTATGTTAGTTAATAGTACTAACATTTGTACAGAAGTTTTAAAATATTCCTTATTTCTAAATTTGTACTTTCAGATATAATTGATATGCTCATATAGTTACAGTTGCACCCTCCTCCCCCACAGCTTGCGCACCACGAACCTATAGTATGGAAGATACATAAAACAAGAGCAAAAGTGTAGAATATTTACAAGAGACTAAAAGTAAGTTGCGTGATTATTCAGGAATCCCGACATTTGGCCTGTATAGGATACATATGTATTTTATGGATTAATGTATATACTAATATCACATTAAAATAAAAATAACTCTAGCAAACTTACGCTAACTGGAATTGGTTGAGGTTGTGGAGTGTGAAAGTCTTGGGTAGACACCTTAGATACTTCCTCAAGCTGAAATTGATTGTTATCATAGGAAGAGGGAACAGTAGTTGCCTCACTAGTGATAAACCCAGAATCCTTTCCTCTTGTTGTTGGAGGTGAGCTTTTTCCATAAGGTAGACTTTCTGTGGATTGTACAGAAATTCGCCGCTTACTGCCGGGAGGAGAACTACAGAGGGAAAATAACTTTTGTTTCATTCCTGAAAACGTTGTCTTTTGCACATTTGTAATATTTTAACCAAGTATACATACTGCAGCTTTAATATAATTACATCATTGGAATACCTTCCAAATATTCTATTTCATCAGTAGTTCTAAGAACTTGAGTGAAATAAAAAATGTCTAACAATAAGTCAACCACACTATAACCTCGATATCCAGTGGCGAAGAAGCCTTGGCCCAGTACCAGGGCTCATCAGACTGGCTGGGATATGGTTAGTAGTGGTTGAGATGTTGAATAACTTTCATTAATGACCATCTCACAACAAAGGTAAAACAGCTATGTAAAGGTATTGATTTGTTGAAAACTCCATCTTGTGTATCAGCACATACCAAATGTGTACAACAGTTAACTACTTAATATTACTTCATAACGAAACATGTTTTATTTTTGTATAAATGAAACATTGTATTTTACAAGTTTTTTAGCACACTGAAAATATTTCCCCCATTTTCCACGAAAAAAAAAGAATCATACAAAAGCAAATAGCAAAAATATTTCATTTTAAATCTTCAATAGTAATAGTTACATAGCGAATTAAATGTACATTCACCTTTTCACCAGTAAATTTTCGCAGACGTGGAATCAATAATATATATATATATCGTATGATAGCGCCCTCTTGTGACAAAGACATTAATCCTACAATATTGCTTTGAATATTCTTTGGCATTTGTTAACAGTTGTACATTGTAACTGAACGTTATTCAATCATTTTACTTGGTCAAGAAAATCATAAACAATATGGAGAGTCTTTTTAATGGACTTAAATTGTCATTTCCTGTTTGCATGAAAGACAAGCTAATTAACTGACTTAAGAGGAGATTTTATAAATTAAAACAGTTTATGGTAATTAAATGCCAGTAACGCCTTTAACTTAGCAACATCAGGATTTGTTAGTAATATTTTACCTCATTTTACAAGTTTTAGCTTGAAAAGGAAAAAAAAAATTATTGAGTCATACACACTTCAGTTTTAGTCCTCGTGAATCACGAACACCTGAAATCAAAAATATCTTACTGTAACGTTTGCAAGTTAATGTTGACAAACTTAACTAATGTTAATTTTTTAAAAAGAATTTCACATTATGTAACTCACCCTTCTGTTGTTGGAATCTTCTCCTTGCCTTTCTTTTTTTGTCCTGTAGAACAAGTGTTACCCATAGTGACTTCCAAACAGAAAACAATTTGAAGCTTATTATGAAAGTTCTCGGATTTAGCTTTTCTTCACCTTTGGTTTAGAATAATGAGGGAAGGGAGATCCAGGAATGGTGGCATATTGCTGTGAGGAATAAACATTAAAATAAAAATTTGATTTCTTTCTCACGTTAAGAATATACGCGCACTTCAGCTATTATTTTTATTTCCCGATAGTTGCAGTGTATAATTTACTGTAATATATGACGCAAACATAGCAGACGAATGTTCATTAATATTTTCATCACTGAAACATTTTACCTACACGAACATTTAAAGGTACTCTTCACCTATGACATTTCATCTTGCACGTATAAAAGTCTTTATTGTATCTGTCCTTTTAATTAAATTCAAGGAAATTTGAGGGCGCATTTTGCTGTTATTAGTTCCAGAAAGTTACCACTGTCAGCTCTTAGAGCACAAAGATTAGTTGTTGTTTTTAACCTGAGAGAAAAACAAAGAATGATACATATACATCATGAACATCTTTTGTTGTTAGGCCTTTTACCTGTCAGATTTTTGTGTTTATTGTTGTTATTTTTTTAACTAGATACAAGCCTAGTTAATAGAATAATTTACCAGAAGAACACGCCATTAAACAGCTTTGAAGATGTGTTTATTTTTATTTAAAATACAAGCCAGTATGTTAAAAATACGTGTTTGTGTATTTTGTTATAACAAAGCCACATCGGGTTATCTGCTGTGTGTCCACCGAGGAGAATCGAACCCCTGATTTTAGCGTTAAATCCGAAGGCTTACCGCTGTCCTACATTAAAAATATTCCGTTAGTTACTAGTGGCACAGCGTTATGTTTACGGGCTTACAACGCTAGAAACCGGGTTTCGATATCAGTGGTTGGCAGAGCACAGATAGCTTTTTTTTTTGTGTAGCTTTGTGCTTATATTACAAACAAACAAAAATTTTCTTAACTTCGCGTAAAATATTTGATCTAACCAATCAGAAAGATGTACACGATTATTGGTAACATGAAAAAACTAAATTATAATAAACAGTGTTATCTAACTGGCTGAATCTACGTAGCGAATTGTGATATTCATGCCATGATCTTTCTTGATATCCGATGAAACGACTAATCCTGAATAAAATTAGTGAGTAACTAGAACTGTTTCTTTGTTTGTTTGTAATTAAGCACAAAGCTGCACAATGGGCTACCTGTGCTATGCCCACCACAACTATCGAAACCCGGTTTCTAGCATTGTAAGTCCGCAGACATACCGCTGTGCCACTGGGGTGCAACTAGAACTGAAGCGCACCGATAAACATCTTAAAACTTCTACCAGCTTTGTGATGTCGGCCCATAGCAATATTATCGCGAAATAATGTTTGGTCTTCGACACGTTAACCAAAGTATTCACGCAACAGCAATCCTTAATCACGTGATCAAAACCTAATCTGGCAAAATATATAGATTAAAAAAATGAAATTGCACACATATACACGAATGCTGTGGAACTTAGAACTAACCAAGTGTGTGCATGAATTTAAACCATAGGAAGGGGCCACACATATGGGCTGTTTCTGGCCCTTTTATGAATTGTAACGACTGGAACAAACGTAATAGCCTGGCATGTGCTGACAACACAAAAACCTTTGTTTACCTTATCAGGGTGTTATTATTGGAGAAATCGAGGAAGAAGCGCATACATGAAATCCCAACGTTATTCCTGTAACCCACAAAAAATACAACCATAACAAGCATAGATATGATGTTTGTTTGTTTTGAATTTCGCGCACAGCTTCATGAGGGCCATCTGCGCTAGCCGTCCCTAATTTTGCTGTGAAAGACTAGAGGGAAGGCAGCTAGTCATCACCACCCACCGCCAACTCTTTGGACTACTCTTTTACCAACGAATAGTGGGACTGACCGTCACATTATAGCGCCCTCACGGCTGAAAGGGCGAGCATGTTTGGAGGATGTGAAAAAAGTATTTAGAGATGTGAAATGTTCGGGTCCATGTTATGTACTAGAGCCTTAGTCGTCAGTGTCATTATAACTACCGCTCCACACTACCCACTGATGTGTTGAGAAACCTTGTGTTCATGAACCGACGTCACATTTTACATACTTTGTCTGCTAGTCAATCTTGAAAACGAGTATCAATATTAGGTGTCACATTGTTGCGAATATCAGTGTATATATGATATCACAGTATACATGTATATTAGATGTCACAGTTGCTGAGGTTTTCAACATACGTGACGAAATATTTATTGTCCTTTGTTACGAGTACATGTACGTATGAAATATGTTTTCATATATATGTTGTTGTTGTGTTTTTTCATTAAATATCCTGTGCAAGTATCACGGTGTTACGTGCACGTTATTCATTTGTGTGTAAATGACTGATTTTTTGGCAGAAGTCGATACAATACCCATATCGAGAAACACATTGCACAAATCTTCATAATGACGTGTTGAGAGGTAAGCCGATACCAGGACTACCAAAAGCACCACTTAGTTACTTTTCTCGGTACTTATCTTGTATTTATTTTCACTTTGAGTATTCCTCAAAGTTCAGTTAAGTAACCCACAAATTTTGGTGATAAAAGACATTATACATGCTTATTGTTATTGATTTGTTATATATAGACACACACTTGTCATATACAAGAAAGATAATTGGTGCATTTAGTTATTAAACTTAATATCAATTCCTGATATCAACATTTCCTTTAATAACCTTTAATAAGAGTTTCACATTTTTTATGATTATTTAGAAATTCCTAGTTTTCCAGCTTAACGTTTCACATACCGTATTTTTCGGTGTATAAGACGCACTTTTTTACCCCAAAATTTGATGTCAAAATCTGCTTGCGTCTTATACACCGAAAAATACGGTATGTGAAACGTTAAGCTGGAAA